TTGTTAAGTTTCTTTCCAGTTGTTCTATCTGTAATTGAAAGTGGTGTATTAAAGTCTCCTACTATGACTGTGGAGTTGTCTCTTTGCCTTTTCAACTCTTTTAAAGTCTGATTTATGTATTTGGGGGCTCTTTTATTGGGTCCGTTGATATTTATTATGGTTATATCTTCTTGTTCAATGCATCCTTTAATCGTTATATAATGTCCTTCCTTGTCTCGTATGGTGGTTTTTGTCTTAAAGTCAGTTTGATCAGAAATTAATATTGCCACTCCTGCTCTTTCACAGTTGCCATTTGCTTGATACATCTTTTTCCAGCCTTTGATTTTCAGTCTATTTTTGTCTTTGTCTCTAAGATGTTTCTCTTGTGGAGAGCATATTGATGGGTTTTGTTTTCTTATCCAGTCTGCAGCTCTCCATTAAATGAGTGGTCCATTTAATCCATTAACATTCAGTGTAATTATTGACAAGTGTGAATTGGTTGCTGTCCTTTTGTTATGTGTTTTTTCATGCTGTCCCTAGTTTCTTTGTTCCATATTATTTTCTGTGCTGAGCTTATTATGTTTATGAATCATGTTATCATTTCCTTTGTTGCTGTTGTTTTAGTATTTGCTGAATATTTGTGCTTATCCTCTTTTTTATTATGATGTGAAAGTTTATCATTTTTCTTTGAGGTTACCCTGTGATTTATAATTTTCTCCCCAAGTTTAGAACAGTCCATTTATCTTGCAACTCTCTTGACTTCCTCATCATTTAGAAGTTCTGTAACTACACAGTATTTTCCCTCTTTTTGGTTAGTTGTTGTCCTTATTTGCCAATTGATGTCTCTGGTTCCCTGTTTAAATCTTGTTAGCTTATTTTACTTCGGATTTGTCCATAGCTATGGTTTCTAGGTTATGTCATCTTGTGTGTTAATGGTTGGTTTTTGTTTGCTGGTTTTGGTTCTCTGTTCAAAGGACTCCCTTTAGTATCTGTTGTAAGGTTGGTCTGGTTTTAACAAATTCCCTTAATTTCTGCTTATCTGGAAATCTCCTAATTTCACCATCATATTTGAGGGACAGTTTTGGCAGGTGTGTAATTCTTGGTTGAAAATTTTCTCTTTCAGGATTTTTTATATACCATCCCATTACAAGGCTGTAAAGCAGCCTGCCTCACCTTTTTCTTGCAGAGCAGCTGGTGGGTTCAAACCTTTCAGTTAGCAGTCAAGTGCTTAACCATTGCACCCCAACTTTCCTTTCTTGTCATTAACAACAACAACAATGAAAACTTACTGTCAGTGAGTCAGTTCTGACTCATAATTGTCACCTTGCCGAAATGTAATCTTGGGCTAGTCATTACTTGTCCAAATGGACTTTCTTACCAGTAAAATGCAAATACAGTCAGCCCTCCATATCCATCTGTTCTGCATCTGGAGTTGCAACCAACTGGGGATTCAACCAGTTGTAGGTTGAAAATATTTAGGAGGGAGAAAAAAGAGGATTAAGTGATCAAGGCAGTCCCTTAAAGGCAGAAAAAGAGTAGAAAGTGCTGTTTACATAGTTGTGCATAAGTTGTATGTGCAAATACTGTGCCATTTTCTAGAGTTGAGCATCCTTGCATTTTGTTATCTATGGGAAGGGGGGTTCTGGAACCAATACCACACTGATACAAGGAATGACATAATAGCTATTCTGTTTCACAAGCTAGTAGTGGTAAGGATTATATTGATTATTGTGGGTAAAGTTTAGCATGCTGCCTGGAATATAGATTTTCCATAATGTCCTAATTTGTTTTAAATTGTGATTTTTCTCTAAAAATCATACAACTGTTTGGTTTCCTGCTCTAATTAATATATGTTGTTTATTTTAGCATGGAAATATTAAATATTTTTTCTAAGACTTTTTAAGTAAAGTTGATACTCAAGGAAGATCATTGCCATGTCTTGTATGAAGATCTTTGGGGAAAATGTCCTTCTAGATTTGTGTCAGGGATGGTTGGGTTTCTTCAGCACTATTCGTCCTCATAGACTCTGTGATCACTCTTTTATTTTCTACATTGCTGACCAGGAAATTTAAAGCCAAATGTTGCTTAGGAATTTGTGGTGTGAATATTGTACAGATTCATCATTGACTTCATTTTATGTGTTTACCCTTGTTTCTTTTACCACACCACCCCTGTGCCATTTTTCATCTTTGCCTTGTTAGTGGCGGCTGCTTTAAATTTTTAAATGCCACTTGGCTGTAAAATGCAGATAACTATTTGTGTTGCTCCTCAGCAACAGACCCATGTGTGCTCAGCAGCCTGTAGACATCCCCCCAGGCACAATAGAAACTGCTCTCATACCTTGGCATCATCTTCACTCTTCCCTCTCTTCACACCCAACTTCTTGATTCTGTCTTTCTGTCTCCTGAGTGCCTTTCTAATCTGCTCCTTCCTCTTCACCTCAGAATCATCTGCCATTGTTTCTTGCCTAGGCTCTTGTGGTGGTTTTAAGCCTGTCTACTTTGCTCCAGTACTGTCATCCCACCAACACATGCTCCACACTCTGTTCTGAGAGAGCTCTCCAGCCTACAAGTGCCCTCAGGTTTCCTTAGCCTCCCTTCATAGTCGCAGGTCTAAACTGGCTGCCCTGGCAGCCTCATCTGCTGATCTGCCCTGCATTTCCCAATAACCAGACTCTTCCATACCAAAGCATACTTTGCTATTAAGGCCCTTTCCCTGTGCAGGAACTGCTTATTTTCCTTTTTCTACAATTTTCCCTGTTCCTCAGAGCTTAACTGAGACATTGCCTCCTCTTCCCTGACCTTTTTTGACAGACTTGTCACTTGACTTCCTTGGGTAGAGGTTCCTTGGGCATGCTACTGTTGTCACACTTAACTACAGAGTGCTACCCCTCACCTTCTCAGGTCTGGCACAGTACCGCTACAAAACTTAGTAGGTGTTAATAAATGAATAAATGAGCAAGTGAGAGAACACAGAAAACGTCTTCCTGAGATGTCTACATGTGTGAGAAGTGTTAGCATTTTCACCTTTATGTTTTACTTACTGTAGTATTTGAAGATAAGGTCTCCTGCCTCAATGAACTTGGAAGTGCTTCAAGTTAAGTTGCAGTTTTGGGATACTTAACAAAGAGATAAATAACAACCAGCATACTTGGCTGACAGTGATTAATTAATTCATCCATTAACAGTGAAGTAATCCTAAAATCAAAACAGTTGTGAATGAGTTGATCCCAACTCATGGAGCCTCCATGTGTGTCAGTAGAACTGTGCTCCACAGGGTTTTCAGTTACTGATCTTTTTTTAGAACTAGATAGCCATGTCTTTCTTCTGAGGTGCCCCTAGCTGGACTTACACTTCCAACTTATCAGTTATCAGCCAAATACCATTTGTACCACCCGAGGATTCTGAGGTGATCCTAGGAACCTTCTATTCCATTTTTTCAAAGTATGGAAACTGACCAGCTGTTTACTGACGACAGAATACTTGCCACTCCATAATAAGGAGTGAGGAAGTTGCTCTATGATCCATCAATGTCCTGGGCTGCTAGGAATGGCTTTGTCCCCAGAATGGGCCCAAATCCATCAGTTAACAGATAAAATTACTGATTGGATGTAATTTGCCCATAAAACAGCTAATATGTACTGTTGTGTTTTCTCTCTCTCAATCTCCTCTCTCCCTTCTTTCCTCCCTCTCTTTCATTGATTCATTCATTATTAAGCACTTACTGTGAACTGGTACTGTGTGAATCACTGGGGATAGAAAATCAGCTGGGGTATGGACCCTGTCTCTACCAAGGAGCTAACAATCTAGTGTGAAAAGCCCTTACATGGGTCAGTTATTTAATGTAGAAATAAATACAACACCTGAAGTATGTTCTTAATTCAGAGGACAAAGAGACAGACTGTTCAGGAAAGCTTCAGAGTTGGCTATGCTCCTGCTAGGTTGTGAGGATGCATAGGAGTTCACCAAGCATGAGAGAATGAGGGTGAAAATAGCACATGCAGAAGAGCAGTAGGAGATAGTGGGAGAGGCTGGGATTCTTAAGAAAGAGATAGGAAAAATAGCCACTGCTTGGTTGGCAGTAATTAAGCAACTCATCAGCTTCGAATGCATCATGCTAGCAACTGCAGCTTCCTTCCCCAAGCCCGCTGCAGCAGGAGTGATGTGATTTCCGTGCTAGAGATGGTAGTGGCCTCGAGGACTCATCCAGGGTCCCATGGAAGTGGCTACAGCATTCCAACTGGGAGATGAGGGGAACAGGGGAGCAGAAGAGGAGGGGTGTGTTTGAGAACTCTTTAAGAAATAAAATCTACAAGATGTGGTGAGTAATTGATTGTGGAGGGTTAGAGAAAGGGAGGAGTTAGAGGTGACTCCCAGATTTTTGGCCAGAACTTCTGGGTGGAGAGTGGTAGAACCTGGACCAAAGAACCCTGCACTGTTGACTCATACCCAGTGTATTGTATGTGAAGCTTTTTCTAGTAGCCTTTGGGCTATTAAATAGATAACATGGCATTTGTAAAATACCAGTTCTGGCCAGAGACAGAAGTGATGGTTAATGAGTTGTTCCCGGAAAGAGAGGCAATAAGTCTTATCTTCTGAGAGTCACAGTAACTTCCTCTAATTAAGGAGGCGGATCGATGGAGACTGTGCTGCTGGCAGTGGTAAGAAGCCCACCCTGCCCCCATCTGTTTACTCATGGGAGAAAAGAACTTTAGAAAGGCAAAATACCTCTGATTAGTGTGGGAGTTAAAGAGAACTCTTGGTAGAGTACTCCTGGAAGAGGGGACTGCTTGTAGGCCAAGCTTTGGAGTCTAGTAGAAATCCCTGGAAAATTTGATCACCAGAGTAAGAGTCAATGATTTGTTTTTTAAAAGGGGCTGAGGGGCAATCTATTCAATCTGTTCTTAATCAGTATTCGAGTATGTATAGGGTGTATTGGTGTTCAAAGTTATAAAATGGTGAGAAAATAGCAAAATGGACCTATTTTTTTTTTAATTCTTCAGAAAGTGACTTTTACATAGTATCAGTCCAAGCTGTTCAAGCATCAGTATTTTTTTTTTTAATATTTTAAAAATCACTTTTGCCAGTAAAAAGTAGGTAGTAACTAAGTAAGAAAACTTAGTTCAGATTGAAGAGCCCAGGGTAAAGCACAATCAACAGACCCCAGTAAACTGTGGGAGCACATCTCACTGCTTTGGAGGGGTTCTCATTCTAGGGTCCCTGGACCTGCCAAAGAACTCCTCTTAGAATTCAGAGACCATGAGTTTGGTTGGGAGAAAAGTTACATCTTTATTTTGACCAAGTTCTCAAAAATTTCATTTTCCTTTTATTATGAATATAGAATTCAAAACAGTAGTATTAGCAGTATTTCTCACCATTAGAAATCACAGACCTTTTCATATTATTTCGTATTATAGTTGTTGCAGATATCTGAATATCATATATGATCATATATTCTAATAATTACTTTGGCTTTAAAGTAGTTATTAGATCTACCACTGTATGACAGTGGCTTAATAAATAAGTGCATACATTACTATGGGAGCTCTGGTGGTGTAGTGCCTAAGGCATTTAACTGCTAACCAGAAGGCTGGGAATTTAAACCCCAGCAGCCACTCCTCAGAAGGAAGGTTGGGCAATCTACTTCCATAGTGATCTGTTGTTGTTGTTGTTATGTGCCATTGAGTAGGACCCAAATCATAGTGACCCCTCCTTGGGTTTCCAAGGCAGTTTCAATATAGAAGTAGACTGCCCAGCCTTCCTTCCAAGGAATAGCTGGTGGGTTTGAACCGCCAGCCTTCTGGTTAGCAGTCAAATGCCTTAGGCACTATGCTACCAGAGCTCCATAGTGATACCACCTCGGAAACCCAAGAAGAGGTAGCTATGAGTTGGATCTGACTCGACGACAGTATGTTTGATTTTGATTTGGTTACATTACTATATCACACTTTAAAAATATATATTTTTTGAGATCTATACTTCAATATAATAGGTTTTCTTTTTAACCCTTTTTGTTCTATCTTATGTATTTAAAAATGTTATTCTGAGTAGGTTTCATCAGCTTCACAGCTTCCTAGGAGGGTCCATGGCACACAAAAGGTTAACAACCCCTGGCTAAGATCACGTAGTTGTGGCATGTGACCTCCACCTGGTGGCAGCATACTCCTAGAAGGTTAAATCTGTAACTGACAGTTGTGAAGAACTTTTAAAAAAGAAGTGTACTTGAGTATGGTTTTCAAATATATTTTACCACAACTAACATTAAGAAGTAAATTTTACATCTTGACTCAACATTCATAGATAAATTTCATAAAACAGTACTTGATTGGCCTTACTATGTGACATATCAATATATTCTTTTCAGTTCTTTCATTTTTTATAAAATACTGGTTGTTAACACACTACATTACAGTTTAGGAGGTCACAAAGCAATGTTTGACAACATCATAGGTAATCATCTTTGGTCATGCTACACAGTTTATTGCCCAATGAACTTCATATTAGTTTCTCTCTCAAAACACCCACATACTTTCAGAAACATAATTCTTGCAATTTAAATGCCTATCAACAAATAGTAATATCTTTTCATGCAGCATTTGAAATATTGTTTATTAGTTATGTATAATTTATATACAGGAGCTCTGGTAGCATAGTGCCTAATGCACTTGACTGCTAACCAGAAGGCTGGCGGTTCAAACCCACCAGCCACTCCTTGGAAGGAAGGTTAGGCAATCTACTTCGGTAGTGATATTGCCTCGGAAACCCAAGGAGGGTTGCTATGAGTCGGGTCTGACTCGATGGCAAATAACAACAGGAACAATTTATTATATACAGTGAAATGCACTGATCTTAGTTGTATACCCCACTGATACACAGTATGTTTCTAATACCCCAGAAAGTTCTTTGAGCCACTTCTCTGTCAATGTCTCCCTAGACAGTCTGATTTATTTCACCATAGTTTTATTATTTATATCCGTAGAGATACCGCCTTGGAAACCCAAGGAGGGGCTACTGTGAGTCGAATCGACTTGATGGCAGTGAGTGAGAGCTTTATATAAATGTAATCATGCAGTGTGTATATTTTGATCTGACTTCTTTTGCTCAATATAATGTTTTTGAGACTAATCTATGTTGAGGGTATCGATAAATTGGTGAGTATCATTCCATTGTTTGAATGTACCACAACTGTTTATTCATTCCATTGATAGACTTTTGCATTGTTTTAATTTTGGGCTGTTTGCTTTGAGGTGGAATTCATTCCGCAGTAAAGGGTTTGCTTTTAGTTTATGAATAAAGCTTCTAGGCACATTTGAATGTAAGTCTTTGTGTGCATATATGTTTTCATCTCTCTTGGGTAAATAGCTGGGGATGGGATTGCTGGGTCAGTGAGTAAATGTATGTTTAACTTTATAGGAAACTGCCAAACTGTTTGCCAAGGTGGTTGAACTATGTTACATTTCCCTTAGGAGTGTATGAGGGTTCAAGTTGCTCCACATCCTTGCCAACTTTTGTTGTTGTTAGTCTTTTTAATTTAAATCATTCTGATCAGTATGTACTTGTTTCTGTTGGTGACTTTAATTCACATTTGCCTGATGACCAATGATGTTGAACACATTTTCATGTGTCATTAGTTTATCTTTTTCTAAGAAATGTCTGTTCAGGCTTGGGTTGTTTGTTTTTTAAAATATTGATTTATGGGAGTTCTTTACATATTTTGGATATCAGTCTTTTATGTCAAATATACGGCAATGAGTTTTTTAGTTTATACTGTGAATATTTTTTCTCAGTCTGTGGCATATATATTCATTATATTAACAGTGACTTTTGAAAAGCAGAAGTTTTTCATTTCAACAAAATCCCAAGTTTTACTTCTACTGTTGTTAGTGCTTTCTGGGTCATAGCTAAGAAATTTTCCTACTCCAAGGTGAAGATAGTTTTGGCTTTTATGTTTAGATCTGTGATCCATTTCAGAAAGAAAGAATTTTTGTTTATGGTGTGAGATAGTTGTCAAGTTTCTTCCCCCTCTCCTCCATTTGAAAAAAAAAAAAAAAACCTGCCATTGAGTCAATTCCAACTCATAGCAACCTCCATTGGATTTCTAAGGCTATAAATATTTACAGAAGTAGAGTGCCTTTTTCCTCTTGCGGAACATCTGGGGGGTTCAAACCACTGGCTGTCTGGTTCACAACCAAATGCCTTACCCACTGTGCCACCAGAGCTCCTTATAGGTATCTGGTATTCTGTTTCTCCGTTGAACTATTGCACAGAATTAAAATAAACAAACAACAAACATCTGTTCAGCCAAAGAGGTGGGTATGTGACTTTTCCTTTCAGGCCATAAACTGACCCCTGGGCCTGTGAAACATTTACACCTGCAATCTTAGTTTTTCATTCCTTTCTAAATCAATCCATGTGCTATGGAAATTTTCTAAGGAGGTTAAAATTTCCCCCTAAGTAGGTAAGGAAAGTCTGAAAAACTTTCCCAGAGGCATAGGCAGAGACATGAACATTTATTCAGAATAAAAACAGGGAATCAGGAGAGAAAGAATATAAAAGATAAAGAAAGCAGGCTTACAAATGTTGCTAGCAATTCAGCATCCAGCGGCGGTGGGCCAGAGTGGATCCAAGATGACTGCTAACCCCCTCCCACTTTACAGGGGTACTTATACGTAGTTTGAAGAATTGGGGATGGGGGCTATGTGACTGGCTTCAGACTCGGTGGTGCCAGGCCCCGATTGAGAGGGTGCCCCAAGCCACCACCTGTGTGTGCTCTGATAAGATGTTGCCGTTAGCAAGCTTTATTGCTTAAAACTATTCTAAGGACAGGTTAATACATTGCAGGGAATGTGGTTAACACATGACAGTGGGGAGTAGGGGAATATGTGACCAGGAGAGAGTGAAAAAATGGCTTGTAATTCTTATAAGCGTGGCTAAACTAGATGGAATCTGAGAGCTATTTTAAGGGGTTGCAGTTACTGACCATGTACCATGCAATTATCTTGGCATTCTCAAAAATTTATTTATTTATAGGGTGTGAAGATTTATAAGGCTACAACTTTTTTTTTTTTGAACAGCTGTACTATGCAGTACAGTATCCACCAGTCACATGTAGCTATTTAAATTAAATTTAAATCAATTAAATAAAATTAAATTAAAAATTCAGCTTCTCAGTTGTAATGACGTGGCCAGTGGCTACCCTGTTGAATAGCACAGGGATAGAATACTTCTATTTTTTCAAAAATGCTGGACAGTGCTGATTTGTAGAATAAAACCAAAGAAGTAGGCTTTGCACAATTTTGTAGCATATTTTAATAAAACTTTTCTTTAGTTTTGATAATCATCATACAGCATCTACCTTTCTGTCTTTGGTTCTTTTGCCCTTGCTTCCATTTCCATCCCAAGATGTCCTGTCCACCTAATAATGCAGTAGCTCATATCTGTTCTTTCATACCTAGCAGAAAGAATTCCCCTGGCTGCCTAAGGAATGCTTCTTTTCTGGAACCTACCTAGGACTGGCCTATTTTCTCAATGGGTGATAGTTTTTCAGCTGCCACTGGATGCCTGGGCTTCCCCCTTAGAGGTGTGGACCAGAGAGATTTGGTCTTTTTCGTCCTGATTTTTTTTTCCATTCCTGCATTTTTCCTTAGTATTTGCTCTATAAATTTTAAGCTTGCAAAAAGGAGTATGAGCCATAACCCAGTACCATATTAAGATTTCTGTCCCAGAAAATTGTTGAAAAGAAATGAATTGCCATTTCATTGTGAGTGACCACATAGGAATTTATGAGATCGTCTTTCATTGTTTGCTGGGCGTGAACCTCACAGACACTGACTCTGCCATTATGTCTTGCAGTGTGGGAACTTTGCTGTCCTGGTGGATCTTCATATATCACCTCAAGGTTCAAACAAAGATACCAGCTGGTTTTCTGAAGAAAAGAAAGAGGTACAACAAAACTGTTTTCACCATTTAAATGCAAGTAGCTGCTGCTATAAGAAATATTAGCTCTCTCCAGCTTTCCATTTTCATGAAAAGTGGGCAACAATATTGAGTAGTAATTAACCCTTGAAGAACAATTATTGTATTCTGCATGGCATACCACAGATACCCACCCTCTTATTTTCACTTTTTTCTTCTTCAGAAACGGTCACATCCATACATTTCATATGCTGAAACCAGAAATACTATACATACTATTACATTAATATTTATGAATATATTAATACATACATTAATATGTGTTAATATGAATACATACTGTTAAACCAGAAATTTCCAAAACTTTTTGTTTTAGGGGAAGGAATCCTTTATATTAAAAAAAAAAAAAAAAATAGAGAAAGGAAGAAAAGATGTTAAAGTGAGTACTATAGTTGAACAGGGCTTTTAATCCGACTGGGTTTTGAAGTGTTGGGTTGTGCAGTGTAGAACTGAGCACCTGGAGCAGGTGTGTAGGTTAACACAAGTCTGATCTTTCATACCTGCCTGAAATCCTCATCTTCTGTATTTTTATCTTCTACTATCCTTTTATTATCATGAGACTTTGACAACAAATGAGGAGACATTTGACTGTGTTCCTTCCTTCACTTTGGTCAATGGGTAAAGTGAATAGTCATGTGACAGGATCTTGAAGTTTGACCTCCCTGAGTCTCAGCCTCCTTTTCTTCAAACAAAGGGGTTCAACTAGATGCTAAGTCACTACCCACCACCCTCCTGTCAGTTTTTTACACTGTGCTTGTGTATTGCTATGATGTTAGAAGCTATGCCACCGGTATTTCAAATATCAGCAGGGTCACCCCTATTAAACAGATTTCAGTGGCACTTCCAGATTACGACAGACTAGGAAGAAAATCCTGACAATCTACTTTCAAAAATCAGCCAATGAAAATCTTATGGATCACAGCAAATTATTGTTTGATATAATACTGGAAGATGAGCCCTCTAGGTTAGAAGTCACTCAAAATACATAGTGGTTGCAGTAATGGGCTCAACCATATATACCAACTGTTGTGAAAATGGCACAGGACCAGGCAGTGTTATGTTCTGTGGTACATAGGATCATCGTGAATCAGAGCTGATTTGATGACAACAGTAACAGGTCACTCCTGACTCTAAGCTGCTTCAGTCTCATCCAGGTGCTGCTGTGACTGAGTATTATTTATAAGACGGGTTGAAATTTCACGTTCTTAGCATCCTTCCTTGGATTTCTGCTTACCAGAGTGCAGGAAGAGTGAGGCAATGGCTTTTACATAATTTCCAAAATACTATAGCACTTCTTTTCATCCATACTATTCATTTGTCATGATAGCTTTTTAGAGCTAGAAATGAAAATAAATTTTATAAAAAGATTTTATATGGAGAAGAAAATAGTGATGGTGTCCAAAAAAAAAATAATAATAATAACTTTCCTATAACACTTCTTTTCAATGCATTTTCGAAGATCATTAGAAGAAAAAAAAGTCCTCTAAAAAGAAAAATTTTCAGGGTAATACATTTTCAGTTAACAGGTAATAATATTATCAAAACTTTGCTGTCATAAGTTTGCAGAGGATACCAGATGGCAAAGAGCTAAGAGGAAGGAAGCACAAGATATGCTATGATGGAACTTTATCATTGAGGAAATAACTATAGACTGTCATCTTTAGGATTTAGTATTTAGCATGTAGAAGACGTTTGTCTTCTACTGTAACTTGCCTATCTGTGATTCCAAGCTTTAGTTTACTAGCACACGTCCCCGTGATTCAGAACAGTTCATTCATTTCCCCAAGTGACTAATATACGCCCAAGGAGAGCTCACTCAAAAAGTGTCTGACTTGATTTATATTAGCAGCATTCCAGAATCCACCATTCCAGACACATGTTTTCCTCCATTCTCACCCAGCTTTACCACCTCTTATACCTTTCTTATTGATATTTCATCAGTTGGTTTGGAAGGCTTTAAAATAAAGCTATGGGTAAATGAATCACCTCCTATCCATAGTATGAGGCCAGGTCTCTAAGGTGCCATACATAGCTGTGTGTCTCCACCTAGTCCCTTCTTCAGGGCAGTGGGGCATGATGACTTAGCAAAGATGAGAGCTGCACGACAGGACCTGCAGAGCTGCTGCTGCAGCAGGTTTACAGAGGTGCAGGCCATGCCAGCCACCTGAGCTTTCCTCTGAAAACAAAGTCATTCGCTGCTTCTATTTTAACTTGTGCCTTTAAGTGTATTCACTGGTATTAAGGTTGCTCTGGGATAATTTGTGTTGGTGTTTGAGTGTGTGTGTGTGTGTGGGCATGTGTGTCAGAAAGGAGAAAAGCTAGTCAAGCGAAGAATATGATTTTAGCCTGTGTTCACCATCTTGACACTTTCATCCCTTTTATCATTAGATCGTCTCCTCATGATTGGAATCTCATGAACCACCAATATGATTGTGCTTTAACAGTCACTTTATATAGTGAAAGTCCAAGAATATCTAGTTCCTCTGCAGAAAAAAGAACTGATTATATGTATTAAATATGTTTAAGTCTAGCACAAGTAGTACTTGTACCCAAACAATTGAACTCAAACCATTCCATTGTAAACTTGTAGAAGCGAACCTAAGCCTCTGGTAGCCTGGAGATGCCAAATGCATCTCTTGCTGTCTTGATGATTTTAACTTGTTCTCTTCTGCCCCTCATGTTTTGCTGGGAAGTTTCCTTTTCTTACATTTCTCAGGTTCTGAAGGAACTGTTTCACTAAATGGTGAAGTTATTGGGGTATCTTGACCACAGTAAATATAGTCTATCTTTCATTCATCAGGCTTGAGTCATTGGAGGAAAGCCCCATAACTATAGGGAGAAAGTTTGTGTATGGGGCTTTACTCTATTTTTGTCATGTTATTTTTAGTTCTAGCCTTATAGGGCATTTATGGCAAAATTTTAGCAATTTTTGTTTCCATGTATGTCTTTCACATATTTTCTAGTTCAGTCATAGTTGAACCCTGCATGTGAAGCAAAATTCCTTAATTAAAACAAGTCTGAGGATGGTTGCTTTTCTGAACAATGCCAAAACACTTAGCTAAATGGGTATCTGTATTCTCCAAGGCACTGCGTCTTTGGGCTGCAAGATAGGAAGCAGGAGAAGAGGACCCCAGTCTTTGTATTTTATCTGGAAATTCATATTTGAGAATTAAATCAAGGGGTTTGGGTACTGTTTGAGGGGTACAGCCTTTACAATGAAAGAAAACTTTGGCTATAACTGCCCTTAGAAGCAGCTTAAAACTTTGGTCTCATTTTACTGTATGAAGATTCTAAGAGATCAGCTTGAGATGGCATTGCAGGAAACCAGTGAAACAGGTTTGAGGTGACCTCAGCAACTCTGAGCCTTTTGCAGTCTTTGGGAATTGAATCAGAATGATCAGTTCTTAATCTAAATTAAGAAGGGTAGGTTTCGCTTGCACCTAACAGCAACATGTTATGTTGAACTAGAACCAAAACCATATGTTTTTGTTGCTTAATATTAATAAATACTAATCTCTTTTAAAGAAATATGAGAAACTAAATTATTTTCAGCATTAATAGGTGAATATGGGCAATCCTACTTCCGCAGTGATACTGCCTCGGAAACCCAAGGAGGGGTCGCTGTGAGTCAGGGCTGACTCGACGGCACATAACAACAACAACAACATAGTGCAGTTTTAACAAAAGCTACAGGCATATACATCATCATCAGCAAGAGCATGGAAGAAAATCAGTAATCTCTTTTCTGCTAAACTTATTGCTCAATGCTCTTCTTTCTTCAGTAGATTAGTAAACCTGAGATTAGTATGACAGTGTTTAGATTTGTACAAATTTGAACAAGTCCAATGAATAGGGGTTTTTAATAAAAATCACGGTTTCTGGCTACTCTTGAAAAATCAGAAGATCTGTCAATGCTATGTCTGTATCTTTACATGACAACAGTCCACTGAACCACAGAGAGATGCCCCCTAGGACTGGGCTGCTATCTGCACACATACTATGAATATACAAGTACACTTGGCTTCTTCCCCTAACCCCAGTTCCCTTCCTGGCACAGTGAGCTTCTTGCTGCCAGCCAGGGTTGGTTCTATTTGACTTTTTGTATTCATCCCAATACAACAATTAGTTGGTGTTTATGTGAAAATGTTCTTTACCTCATTGGTTTTATCAGCTCATCATATGAATTTTCATATTGAAGTCAATGTGATTTGTTTTTCTTATTCTCTTAGAAATGTGAAATTGAGGCAGAGAGAAAGGAAGTTGATTTCCCAGATCAAAAGTGAGCCAACATCATGGTTTTGAAGAAACTTTAGTAGCAGATTAAAGTCCGTGGTGTTACCCATCTGCATATATGACATTTGTCGTGGTAATTTTCTAAGGAGGTTAAAACTTTCTCCTGAGTAGGTAGCGACAATCTGAAAAACTCCCAAAGGCATAGGCAGAGACATGAATGTTTCTTCAGAACAGAAACAGAGAATCAGGAAAGAAAGGATTTAAAAGATTAAAGAAAGCAGGCTTATAAATATTGCTAGCAAGTCAGCATCCAGCAGCGGCGGGCCAGAGTGGATTTAAGATGACCACTAACCACTCCCACTTTGCAGGGAGGGATACTTATACATACCTGAGTTTGAAGAATTGGGGATGAGGGCTATGTGACTGGGAATGGAGGGCTACATAACTGGCTTCAGACTCGGTGGTGCCAGATCTCAATCAGGAGGGGATCCTGGGTCACCACCTGTGTTGTGCTCTGATAAGATGCTGCTGGTTAGCAGGCTTTAGTGCTTAAAACGATTGTAAGGACGAGTTAATATACATTACAGTAAAGGTAGTTAATACCTGACGGGTGTGAGGGGATATATAACAGAGAGGGAAAGGGAAAATGGCTTGTAGTTCTTACAAGCATGGCTAAAAGAGATGGAATCTGAGAGCCACTTTGGGAGTGGGGGTTGCAGTTACTGACCATACAC